GATTTTTTTTCTCTGTTAAAATAAATCCGTTTTATTTTTTATTTTTATTTCGCCGAGAAAAAAAAACATTCATTTCCAGATCTTTTTTCGGAGCTCCGAAAAATAGATGCGTTTTTTGGGGGGGGTTTTTTCCCACAAATCTATTCTTCTCTTTTTACCTTTTTTTCTTTTATTAATTGAACGTCATTGAGAGAGATAGACAGAGAATTGTAACTAATGTTGCTAATCATTCTCCAGATGCGTGCCAACGACACTGGAAATTGCTTATTTGTTAAAGATGTTTATTATGGCATTCAGCATCAAGACATTGTAATAGTAACATTAACTGTTTCCTTATAAAGAAATATTCAGTAACCATTGACCTAGCATACAGTGTTATTTAAGGTACGATTTCTTCACTCCCTGACCATCGGGCTGGGATCAAAGTGTAGTATCTGTTATTCTCATCTCTAATGGTAATGATAATATTAGCCGTTTCCTTATAAGGAAACATTCGATATTCATTGACCGAGCAGCCAGTGATACTCGTTACGCTTTTCTCCACTCCCTAGCCATACGGCTGGGATCAAAATGTAGTATCTGTTCTCCTCATCTCTAATGGTAATGGTAATATTAGCCGTTTCCTTATAATGAAACATTCGGCATTCATTGACCGAGCAGCCAGTGCTACTCGTTACGCTTTTCTTCACTCCCTGGCCATCGGGCTGGGATCAAAATGTAGTATCTGATCAGCCCTCATATATATAATTGTAGAAAACTTAAAGATAATAGAATCCCTCCTAATAAAAACAAAGCAAAAAAAAACAACGTTTAAGAACATGAGTTATGAACACAGTCATCAAGTACTGTGTGTGTGAATTCAAGACCTGTTTACACAGGAGTAACATACACACCATTTGAAATAACACAACCAAAGTCCTTGAAAATGTCTTAGCCAAAAGTACTTTACACAAATCATCATTTGGACAATTTCTGTTTCTACTAAGCTAAATTTCTATTAAATGGCAGAGCTCTTTGTTTGCGATTATGTCGGCGAAACGACATACACTGAATTTCAAGCTTGCTTATAGTCCATCCTTATAAGTGCGCCGCCATTTAAAATTATACGCACCCAGTTTTGGAAACGCCATCTGTTGGAAAACAGCGAGAACTAATATTTGGTGCGCAATACATTTCATTCATATAAAGGTCTCGATTTGACTCAGGGTTAAGTGGATTGCAACTGTATTCTGTATGAGAAAACCATGTCTGAAAATTATTATCAAAAGAGCTGAATTTAATATTTGCTCGGGGAAAGAATACCGTTTAGAGATTATGCATATGTACACTGCAATGTCAAAAGTACCTTGTGGTACCCCACGTCTAGCATGGCGAAATGCAGCAAGATTACAAAATGTCTATTGAAATGATATTGATCTTACCAGACAAAACATATGTGCCGCCTGCTACTGGGAGAGAGGAAGATGTTTTCCAAAAGCTAAGCAAAGTATTAAAAAACAGAAAAAAATTGTTAGAAACGAAGGAAAGGGTACTGAACTGTTATGTAATAACGTAACTTCTACATGGCAGTCGATGCTAGACAATCACTTCACAGATTTCAAGACTTGAAGCAACTGGTTCTACAGAAGGATGCTGAGACTATCATAGAATGAATATGAGTGCAATGACCAAATTTTAAAGATAATGGGAACAAAAATACTTATACATTATTTACATTATTTGGACTATTGTCCTCATCCTTGTCGCTATATTTATTACAACGTTTTGGCCGTTGTACGCTCCGGCCTTCTTCAGGTGGTTAGAATGTCGAACTGAACCCTTTATTTCGCTCACTTTGAGTAGATTGTTCTAGTTCCATGTGCCATGTTTAATGGATGTCAATTATCAGTTATCTCCTGTTAATGTCCCACGCAGTTGGCACAGTGGATGAAGGCGTTGGTTAGATCCAATGACAGGACCCAAAGAGTGTGAGTTCAATACCCGGTTAAGGCAGTGGAGAACTTGGAGAGGGGAATTAACAGGAGGTAACTGATAACTGACATCCATTAAACATGGCACGTGGAACTAGGACAGTCTACCCCAGTGAGCGAAATAAAGGGTTTAGCTTGACATTCCAACCATCTGAAGAAGGCCGGCGCGTACAACGGCCGAAACGTTGTAATAAATATGGCGACAAAGATGAGGACAATAGTCCGATTAATGCAAATAATGTACCTCATCTTAGAAATATAGACAGATACAAAAGACATACTTAACATAAGATGTATACAGATGAAATTGCAAGGGTATATACGGGAAGAAGGAAGGCGTGGAAAATTGAACACTCACAGGACATATTAAAGAAAAACGACGCATAACCTACTTTAAAGAGCTTGAGCAACATAAGAGGTAGTATAAGGACAAAGAGCTACAAGGAGAGGAAATTGTGGGGAGCCATGATCACCCACGTCCTGAAGGAACAAATCATAGAGGGAATAGAAGAACAAGGAGGAGGAGAAAA